CGATTGGTTGTTGCTAGACACGTGAAAAAAATTGGGGGGGGGGGGAATTTCGGGATGCTCAGGATTTTTTTTTTCCGCCAGTACTTCTTGGAAGGGCTGAAATAGGGTATTTGCTTGGGATGAGTTACTGTGCAAGTGGCGAAAATATTCACCCGTCATGAAGATTCAGATGTCCTTGGAGTTATTAATATTACAGGAAAACCTCGTTAATTCGAAATCCAGGGGACCAAATAATACCGACATCGACATAGACTGATTCGATTTAAATTCGGCATCATATTATATTTTTGACAAAGCTGAGATTAATAAATTGAATCAATTCATGCCCGAGTTGCATCCCGTCCTGGGCGTTGGTCAATTGGTCAATTCTTTGAGAGTTCTATACATTTAAAAAAATGGCTTTCAATTTGCTTCATGTTGGATTTGAAGGTGAATTTGAAGGTGAATTTGAAGGTGAATTTGAAGGCTTGTCTATGTCGTTGAACCCGCCCGCGACGCCCTCCTCCGCGCCCGGCGCGGAGACCAGCCTCGGAATGTCGCCTCCCGAGGATGAGATCCGGGTAGGGGCACTTAACGAAATGGTAATCGAATGCAATGGGCAGACAGCAATGGGCACCGACCGGTGCTCACGGTCGCATAGGGTGCGTCGAGTTGTCGCATTGAATGACTCGGACGGCGCCGACAAACTCTCCTCACCAAACGGCTTATGACTACATGCGGCTTATGACTTCATGTGGCTCATGACTACATACGGCTTATGACTGCATGTGGCTCACAATTACATGTGGCTCATGAACACTTATGACCCAAACTATTTCTCGTAGACCAATGCGCGATCTCTTCGGATCCACCCAAAGCAAGTTCTCATGCTCCAAAAATGAAATTCATCGGCGCCATATCGCACAAATCCTTTTCTGCCAATTCATGCAAAACTTTTTTCGCCGACACAGATTTGCATCCTCGCATGCAGATTCACTTCATGGCTAACCCATTCATATAACTACTGTATTTAAAAAAGATTCCGATGATGTCAGATAATGTCCTATAATGGCAGGTAATGTCAGATGATGCCAGATAATGTCAGATGATGCCAGATAATGTCAGATGATGCCAGATAATGTCAGATGATGCCAGATAATGTCAAATGCAGCACCTGTTTCAGTGCGATCAGGGAGTTACTAATTATAATTACGAATTATTATTAAAAAGTTATTAATTTAAGATCCCAGTACCTTTCCTGCGTTACTTGATCTTTTCCCACGGAGAACGTAATTGATGATACTGGAATTCCTCAAATCATTTAAACACGTTAAGAAGTCCTGCGAATTTGATTGCACGAACTGGCGCGAAAATGCAGGAAATTCTAATTTAAAATGTCGCGCGCTTCAACGTCCAAAAAAAAAAGGAAATAAAAAATCGAAAGCATGTTTACAGCATGACTTTAAAAAATAATTGCTAATGATACTGCTGATAATAATTTAATAAATAATTGCAGCAATCGATTGCTGGAATGAAGGATCGAAATTCCTCGTCGAGCTTCTTCTCGGTCTGCCTTCGTTCCCCCAAGGGGAGGAACTGTTGCGCGCTGCGTGCTTGCCTGTGACTCAAATTGATATTGGCATGTATCGGATCGGAGAGAGAAAAAAAAAATTCAGATGATTTTTTTTCCCTTTCTTTTGGGTGAAGCTGGTCGAGCGGAAATGAGGATTCCAGTCTTGAAAGGATGTTGCTTCGGGCTTTTCGGCATCCGGAGGGGCAGCATCCTCGTCTGCATCTTCAGGATGGTGCGCCTGGAGTTTCTATTCCTCTTACCTCGCGTTTCCCTCTCATGTCGCTTTTCCCTCATGTCATTTTTTTCCCTCTCATGTCGCTTTTCCCTCATGTCATTTTTTTCCCTCTCACGTCGCTTTTCCCTTGTCATTTTCCCCTTTCATGTCACTTTTTCCTCTTAAGTCGCTTTTCCATCGTCACTTTTCCTCTATGTCATTATTTCCTCATGTCACTTTTTCCAATTATGTCACCTTTTCCTCGGTTTTCGCGTGCAAAGATTGGTGTGTCTGGTCTACCGAATACGGTTGCAAGGAAATCGGCGAAAAAAGCACGACCAAGCGGTAGATACATTCCATTACTGATAGTGTCATAAGAATTTCGTCCTTTTTTTAATTTTAATTTCTTTCTTTTCTTCCATTTTTTTCCTGGAAAAGGCGAATCCCAGTTCCGAATAGAACCCACCGTCGTCTTCATCTTTCTACGAGAACATTACCTTTCGGCATTGCAATGAATAAATTTAAGCGAGGTGCAGCAGGAGTTGCCAAAACCCGTCTCTGCGTTCACGATGAAATATGTTGGACTTCAAGAAAAAAAAACAATTTTAAGCAAAAAAATAAGTTGAAAGAAAGGCAATGGCACGTAATGCCACGACGCTGTGAAACGGTTTTTTTTTTCTTCAAGACGATCACCCGCTCTCAGCTGATGATTCGAGCCTCACTCAGAGCTTCTGAACGCGTGGGAGCGGTTCAGGAAAGCGAATTCCATCGCAAACACGCGGGAAACATCGAAGACCGAATTTTTTTCCTCAAAAAAAGGCCCATTCTCACGCAACGTCCTCCTTTCGCAGACCGGTGACGCCATCATCCTCTTCTCGAGCCTGACCTTCTTGGTGGGGCTCTGGTCGCCTCCTCCATCCGCCGAGGAGGAGATGCCGCCCGGCGGGTCCTGGCCGGCCAACATCACGACCGAGGATGCGCCCTTCGGTGGGCCGTCCAACGCGACGAAGGAGGCGCCGTGCTACGGGTTCTCGTCTCGGATCATCGCGACGGGGGACGAGCCGTCTTGGGCCATGGGTCTCCGCTCTTTGTCCTAGAGTAATGTTTTCTCCGACGGTCTTGCTAATTGGAATATTTTTCTTTCCAGTGCGTACCGGCGAGGGACCATGGAATGAAAGCGATTCAGAGTCTCCCTGCATTGAAGTGCCAGTTGAATCGCTTTCGTACGAGACTACCTTGTATGTCGCGATCGGGTCCTTGATCTACTCTTTCCTGATGATCACCATCGGTTTCCTCTGCATCGATGGAGTCCGCACGGTATATAGCCAACTGCAATAAAATGGAATTTTTTTTTGCTGATTGCGTTTCCACCCAGTCAACAATTTTCATCGGTTGGCTTAAATTTGGGTGGCCGAGAAGCTTCCCGAAACTGACGCGAGATGGAGCCTGAGCGGTCGCAATGGCGAGAAACTCGCTGATTCAACCGAAATGAATCCCCCGTGCCTCTGACACGGTTCCCTTCGGTTTCTCAAGTAGATCTCAGAGTAAGACACTGGAATTTCGCTGCACGTTTCCCTTCAGATGCAACCCAGCCTGGGGATTCATCAGGAAATTCCTGCCCTGAGGTTGGTGGGGTCATGGCTTAACTGGTCATGACTTAATGGGGACATGACTTCACGTTTTTTCGTCTATTGGGAATCATTTTCCGACTTACGGCTTTTGCGCGGGAACGATGGAAAGTTCTCTGCGCGTGACGATATGACCTTAATGGCCCGAGTTGGGAATTAGTTAGGATTAATATCAGAGATTAAAGGGACTAATCTGACCTAATTCTTGGATTTCTCCTTCAGATGAAGAAGTTGAAAAGGATACGAGAGGTTTTCTTCGCCATATCTTTTCCGCTTCGTGGAAATTCGGTTCATCACCGACTCATCGACCGGTTTTCCAGCAATTCACTGATGGAAAACCAGGCTCGATGAACTGTAAGCCGGCTTCAGCCTGCTTTAAGCCAAATGATGGCCCTGCTTAGGCAAGTGTCGACGAAAATTCTTGAACAAAATTGACGGGACAATTTTGACGGGGCAGTCATGCAATTAAAATATTTTTATATTAAATATAAATTTAAAAAAAAATTTTGCACTCCACTGAGGATCCTTTTTTTTTTGCACGATTTAGCGAAGGCGGAAGCTGATGCTCCCGTGGCTGTGGATCACGTTCCTGGAGCTGTTGGCCGGGTTCGGGGCCTTCGCCTATGCGTTCGCCCTGGCGACGACCGGCATCACGGGCATCGGCTTCTTGGTCCTCATCCTCATTTTCACCGTTTTGTTCTCCATCGATGGCTACTGTCTGCTCGTCGTCTACTCCCATTTCAAGGTCAGTGAAGGTCGCTTATTAAGGAGGGGAATTTTTTTCTTTGTCAAGCAGCGAAGGCAAATCAGCCGAAATTGAAATATTTATGTGAGTACTGAAAAGTACTGAAAAGTACTCTAGGCCCGTGTTGTGCCCAGTTCCTGCCCGGACTTGACTTTTTTTGCAATGAGACCTGAGCAGCAATTCCCGGATTTCTAGATCAGGCAATAAATAATATTAAATATATTAATAATAATAAATGTTGCCCCTTCGCTAGAACTCGAACTCGAAGCCTATGGGTTTCAGTATCTCATAAGGTTTACTTGCACTAAATAAAAATGAGGAATAACCCATGGGATGGAAAACGAGGAAAAGGACAATTATCTCAAGAATTGCCTATTACAGCAAATTTAATTGGATTTTCAGAATAATGGTCGTATAACGGTTGCCAATAGGTTCTAGGACATTTGAGCGGCGAAGACTTGCGCGCCAGATCGGTCGAGGTAAAAAAATGTATTTGTCACCAGCTTAAAGGGTAAATATAGAAAGCTGAACATGGCTGAAGATGTAGCAAATGTAGCAAATTCAATATAGAAAAAAAAAAACACTTTTGAACTGTATCCCTTTGAGACGCATTTACGGAATGCCGAAACCAGGTGGGGAAAAGAAGTCGGAAGGAAAATGATTCGCTCCAGCGAAGCGAAAAGCAAAGACGAAGAGGGGAATTTTGGGTAAACAGGTACTTCGAGGATCTCGCAAATCCCCGGGGAAAATCCTCCAAGGCAGGATCCTAGGGGCGGGATGAGAACTTTTCTATTAAGGAAAGGTTTTCGAAGTTTTTTTTTTATAATAAAACGTTTGACTGAACTCAAAGTGGCGGACGCGTCGCACGATCAGGAAGAAATACAGGGTGACCCAAAAGTCCTGACAGTCGTTTTTCATGCTCTTAAATATTTTTTTGTCACTAAAATTATTTTCTGAACTTCAGAAATGTATTCAGCAGCACATTTGTGTTCATAGGATTTATTATTATTATAACAATGCTTGCTGTTTATTGTTAAGATAGTGGAGTAAATATGCTAGCGTGTGTGTCAGGAATTTCGCGTCGCATTTTAAATTCGCGTCCAAGTAAGCAAAAATTCCTGGATTAAATGCTAGCTCTAAAAGGCGTTCGATCCGGGCGAATTACTCCGCTGGCATCGTCGAGAGCGAAGGGCGAAACCATCAAGAGCTTTGTTTGCCCTTGGAGCAAAAAATAAAAGATAAATAAATCGAGATGAAACGTCCCTTCAGACTTGGGGGATGAGGACGATTGAGTCCACATCCTCGTCGAGGATGTGGACTCGGGTCCCGAGGGGGGAGGCGTCACGAGGAGGGGTTGCGGCGCTTTAAATTGGATGCCGGATTGAAAGCGGACGAGGAGCGAAGGGGGAAATGATCGATCCTTGGTCGATCCTGCGTCTTCGTAGTCGGAAAACAATGAATGCAAATTTAAATGTAAATTGGCGAAAATGCAAGGACGTTTTCCCTTGGTGAAAAGGACCTGCAAATCGAAATGAATGAACGGCAATGTGAGGGGAATGTGGCGATGAGAATTCCCCCCGCTTTCGTGTTCAGGCCATTTAATAATTAAAAAAAAAATTACTTTAAAAAATCCGTAATATCCGTTTTCTGGAGGAAGACCCCATCGAAGAACTTTTAATTAAATAGACTGAATGAATTTAATTTATCCCTGAAACCGGCACTGCCAAGGAGTTCATTCTCTTTTCATTTTTTTCCCTCTGGCCCTATTTACCCTCCAGAGATTCAAATTTGTTACCGCGATGCTTTTCCTGCTTCCAAATATTTCAGGAGAATTTGTTTCTGGTGAAATTTCCCTCCTCCTCGCAACGAAAGTACCCAAGCGAAGCATAAAAAACACGACGCTCTTCCGCCCTATTAGACTTCGTGAGACAGCAGATGAAACCAAAACAAGAAATGTACGTTGTAATGAGCCAGTTCACAGACGAATGCCCAAACTCGAAGTACGAGTAGCTTTGCCCTCTTCTCCCTCTTCTTCCTCTTCTTCCTCTTCTTCCTCTTCTTCCTCTTCTTCCTCTTCTCCCTCTTCTCCCTCTTCTCCCTCTTCTCCCTCTTCTCCCTCTTCTCCCTCTTCTTCCTCTTCTCCCTCTTCTCCCCGAATTTTGGAACCTGTTTTCACATTCGAAAAATCAATGGATCGCCCTCCACACCAGTGCCCGTTTACTTTATTTTCTGAAGTTGCTATGACTGTTGGTCCTTTTTCCTTCAGGCATATCATTACAAAAATCTTCTCCGAGAGTTTATTTTAAAGCCGGGAGGGGAGCAGCTATTGCACTCGTGATCCACGTGATCCCCGTGATGTTCGTGATCCACGTGATCCGTATCCCTTCGTGATTCTCAGGGGAATCTTTGAAACGTGCGCATGGAATATTATTTCTTTGATCGTTTCCTTGAAATCATGTTTCCACTTATGTGGAGTGCAGGGAGCGGAGACTATTTTCGTTTAAAGTGCAGGCAGCTGGATCAAGAAGGAAAAGGTGCAGAAATAGCTTTCGCGGTTGACGTCTGCAGGAAAAAACAGCGAAAATCCGTTTTCCGATTTCTGGGTTCTGGAGAGGGAGCGAGAGGTATTTTGAACTCAGGGGAATTTCTGGGGAAAGGGAATTTCTGCCCTTTAGTACGGCGAAGAAGGGAAAGTGATGAAGACTCAAGCTGGATCGTACGAATATGTGATAATAAAAAATATTCCCGCTCGTCAATAGAGGCCTTCAAGCCACTCTCGTCATGTTTGAAGCGCTCGATCGGCTGTTCAGGAGCGTTGAATTAAAAAATCAGGTAAAGTCATTCTGCATGAAGTGACTTAATTATTGTATGAAGTAATTCCTATTTCGCTTAATCATTTTGTTATGACGAACGTTTCAAGATTGGGGTCGCTATTTTGCACTGTTTTACGTTCCCATCCGGTTCGCGTCGAACCAACAGCGTTCCAAGCAACAATTTTCATCTAAATTCTCGGTGAAAAAAAAAAACAGCTACAAATATTTGATGCGGCAGCAGGTGACCCGAAGAAGCTATTGACTTCGCACAACTTCGAACGGAACTCGATGCGAGACGGTCTTCTGGGAATGTACGCGGTGAGGCCATTTTCCCGAAACTTTTTACATTGATCGGCCGTTAATAAGCCTGTGAACGGCAATTTCTGAATGATGTCGGATAGGTGAGCGTCTGCCTGCGTATGGCTGCTCCGTCGAACGTTCGGAGGACCAGCCGCATCGAGTGGGGAGGATCCATCCAGAGTTCGCATACTGGCACGCTCGCTTCTTTCACATCGAGTGGGGAGGATCCATCCAGAGTTCGCGTACTGGCACGCTCGCTTCTTTCACATCGAGTGGGGATCCATCCAGAGTTCGCATACTGGCACGCTCGCTTCTGTTGTGTTCTCTCTCTAGGCAAACTCGGAAATTCAAACTCGGAAAACTTATTTTGAGCCGTTAGGCATTCGGAGGGGTGAGACTCAGGTGCCTCAAGTGTTTCAACGGATTAGGGAGGGGGAGGAACAAGAAGCAGGTGAAACTCGCTCTAATCCCCCTCTAACGATTCCTGACACGTTCTGTGTGCGCCTTAGTTCGCAAGGAATGGAGCTCCTTCATGGGTGAACTTGAATTTCCAGCTCATCAGTACTTCATCAGATTAGATGACACGTTATTCAGAGTCGTAAAGTAACTAAATAGATCTACAAGCTGAATAAATACGTTCAAGAAGGTCAATTCTAAGATAATGCCAGGCTTCCTCACTTCAACGAACGATGACGCGAAACGCAATCGTGTATCACTCCGGCATCTTATTTCCTGATGAACGGCGACGAGGAGCACCCGAGGAGCACCCGAGGAGCACCCGAGGTGCTCCACGGGTCCATGCGGGACAGCCAATCGCGTGAGGGGATCCCGCGCGGGAAGCGCTGACAACACTTCCTTTTTTCTTGCTAGACGCACACTTGAAATTGGAAAAAAAAAACTTAATTTTAATTTCCTCCCATGCGTGATACCAGAGACGAAGCCCATTCAAATATCTCATACTAGCGAGGAAACTCCCTATTGTCGCGCCTTCGGCGCTCTATTACCT